ATCTGTTCCTGGGCTTGCTTGCTTTTTTTTTTTTCTTTTTTTTTTTTTTTAGTTGGTTGGCTATTTATTAATGATTCAATTTCAGAGCTTGTTATTGGTCTGTTTAGAGACTCCACTCTTTCTGGTTCAGTCTTAAGAGGCTGTATGTGTTCAGGAATTTACCTATTTCTTCTAGTATTTTTATCTTATGTGCACAGATGTTTATAACATTCTCTGATGAGGTTGTATTTCTATAGAATCAATGGTAATATCCCCCTCGTTTCTCATTGTGTTTATTTGAATCTTCTCTTTTCTTCATTAGTCTATCTAGCAGTCTATCCATTTTATAAAATTTTTTGAAAAACAGGCTCCTGGATTTGTTGATGTTTTGAATGTTTTTTCCTGCCTCAATCTCTTTCAGTTTCTCTCTGATTTTGGTTAATTTTTGTCTTCTGCTAGTTTAGGATTTGTTTGCTCTTGGTTTTCTAGTTCTCTTAGCTGTAATGTTAGGTTGTTAATGTGAGATCTTTCGAACTTTTGATGTGCACATGTAGTGCTATAAATTTTCATCTCAACATTCTGCCTTACATGTGTCTGATATTCTGGTGTGATATATCTTTGTTCTCATTAGTTTCAAAAAAATTCTTAATTTTTGCCTTCCTTTAATTATTTACCAAAAGTAATTCAAGAGAAGGTTATTCAATTCCAATGTAATTGCATAGGTTTAAGTAAATTTCTTGTTCTTTATTTCTAATTTGATTGTACTATGGCCTGAAAGATTTTTATAATTTCAGTTCTTCTGCATTGGCTCTGAAGTGTTTTACTTCCAATTATGTGACCAGTTTTAAAGTATGTGCAGATGAGAAGAATGGATGTTCTGTTGCTTTTTGGTGAAGAGTTCTATAGATGTTTACCAGGTCCATTTGATCCAGTGCCGAGTTCAGGTCCTAAATATTTATGTTAATTTTCTGTCTCAATGATCTGTCTACCATAGTCAGTGGAGTATTAAAATCTCCCACCACTCTTCTGTGTGAGTCTAAGTCTCTTTTAAGGTCTCTAAGAACTTGCTTTATGAATCTGAGTGCTTCTGTGTTGATTGTATATATATTTAAGACAGTTAGATCTTCTGTTGTGTTGAAGCCTTTTACATAATGTCTGTGTTTTTTTATCTTTGTTGGTTTAAAGTCTATTTTTTCAGAAACTAGGATTGCAACCCCTGTTTTTTTTCTGTTTTCTGTTTGCTTGGTAAATTTTTCTCCATCTCTTTATTTTGAGCCTATGTGTGTCATTTCACCCAGCAAAAGATGGGTCTCTTGAAGGCAGCATACCAATGGGTCTTGGTTCTTTATTTACCTTGCCACTCTGTATCTTTTAATTGGAAAATTTAGTCCATTTACATTCAAGTCTAGTATTGATATGTGTGGATTTGATCCTGTCATCAAGATGTTGGTGGTTATTTTGCAGACTTGTTTATGTGGTTGCTTTGTAGCATCACCAGTCTGTGTACTTCAGTGTGTTTTTGTAGTGGATAGTAATAATCTTTTCATTCCATATTTAGTGCTTCCTTCAACAACTCTTGTAAGGCAGGTCTGGTGACAACAAATTCCCTCAGCATTTGCTTGTCTGAAAAGGATGTTATTTCTCCTTCATTTATGAAGCTTAGTTTGGCCAGATGCAAAATTCTGGATTGGAATTTCTTTTCTTTAAGAATGTTGGATGTAGGCTCCTAATCTCTTCTAGCTTCCAGGGTTTCAGCTGAGTGGTCTGCTGTTAGTCTAATGAGCTTCTCTTTGCAAATGACCTGACTTTTCTTTCTAGCTGCCTTTAACATTTTTTCTTTCATTTCGACCTTAGAGAACCTGTTGATTGTGTGTCTTGGGGATGAACTTCTTGTGAAGTATCTTACAGAGTTCTCTGAATTTTCTGAACTTGAATGTTGGTCTCTCTATCTAGGTTGGAGAACTTCTCATGGATGATATCCTGAAATATGTTTTCCAAGTTGGTTTCATTCTCCCCATCTGTTTAAGAAAGCAATGAATTACAGATTTGGTATCTTTACATAATCCCATATTTCTCATTTTTTAAATTTCTTGTCATTCTTTTTTCTCTATTCCTGTCTGAGTGTCTTATTACAGGAAGCCAATATTCAAACTCTGATATTCTTTTCTCTACTTGGTCTATACTGCTACTAGTACTTGTAATTGCATTATGAAATTCTTGTAATGTGTTTTTAAGCTCTTAGGGTCAGTTACATTCTTTTCTATATTGGCTATTTTGTCAGTCAGTTTCTGCATTATTATGCTTTTTAGCTTCCTTGGATTGCATTCCAAGGTACTCCTGTAGTTCAGTAATCTTCATTTCTATCCATATTTTGAATTCTATTTTTCTCACTTCAGCATCTTAGCCTGGTTCAGAACCATTCCTGGAGAGGTGATGTGGTTATGTGAAGAAAAGAAGACATTCTAGCTTTTTGAGTTGCCAAAGTTCCCTTGATGATTCTTTCTCATCTTTGTGGGCTTATCTACTTTCAATATTTGAGGGTGTTAACCTTTGGATTATTTTGCTTTTTTCTTATTAGATGACCTTGAGGGTTTGATTGTGGTATAAGATTGATTCAGCCAACTGGATTCATTTCTGGAAGATTTTAGGGGGGCAATGCTCAGCTCCCAACTCCTGGACTGCATGCTTTAATTCTAGAAGATTTGTACTGGGTCCCAACTTTCTTCTATGGTTTCTTGATGCACTCTAATGCGTGGTGTCAGCCAAAGTGTTTCATAGTGCAGTGACAGTGGATCTATTCTCATAGTAGCAGCTGTGGCAGAGACCTAGTGGGTGCTGGGTTTACTGACTCCCTTGACTCCTTGTCAGTGTTCATCACAATGGCAGAGGCAATGGAGCTGGAGTAGGGTGTGGGGGACTCCTTCTGGTGACTATGTACATGGTAGTGTTGGAGGTGGTGTTGGCTTGGAGGTGGGGTGCTTGTAAGCACAGTTCTAGATGGCTTCCCTGTGCTCAGCAAGCAAAAGTGGTCACTCAAAGTGAGGGAGGGTCCACTGTTCTCTGTGCAATGTTAACACAAGGGTGGGCTGCTGGTACCAAGGCTCCACCTGCAATGGAGGTTGGAGTGGGGAGCAGGGGTGGAGTGTATTCCTGAGCACTGGCCCACACAGACATACAAACAGCAAAGCAATGTGGGGAGTTGCTGTGTGCCAAGGGGAAGCTGCAGCATAGGGAGGGAACATGCAGGCTGGTACATGCCACAGGAGTCAACCTGCAGGAGCTCAGGCACATTTTATGAGTACAGAAGCTACAGTGTGGGCCCCCAGAGTACACAAGACAGTGCTTCAAGCAAGCATGTCCAGGCTAGGGCTCCGGGAGAGACCAGCAAACCAACAGGTGGTCAAGTCAGACCAGCCCTGACTGATGGGCCAGATTACCCTATAAAATTCAGGTCCAACAATTCTTTTAGGCCAAAGGCTATGGGAACAAGTCAATGCTAGGGGGATAGCCCTTTCTGTCCATGCTCTGCTACAGATGCTGCTGTACCAAACCCTCTGGGCTCCACATCAGCTAGCTTGCTATCACTTCACTAAGCAGCTCTCCCTGCCAACTTAAGTGTCCACGGTGGTCGAGGGATCTCCTCCTGCTGGAGTTCCAGAGGCCCATGGAGACAGCAGATTGTTCCTTGTCATTTCAACTCAGTTATTCCCCCAGAGCCATTCAGGGCAAGAAATAAGTCCCAGTGCTTGGTAGGCTGATGCAGGTTCCCAGCTTTCTCCCCCTTTAGTCCAACTTTTGTGTCTTGCCTTCGTTCACTCTTGATGCCTTCCCTCTGAAGATCTGTTAGGAGCATGCCAGTCCTCTCAGTCCCTTGATGGGAGCTGTTTCATGTGGCTGTTCTAGTCAGCCATCTGGTCCTCCTCCAAAAGTTATTTTCTTAATTCCCCCATTTGGCCTGATTAACTTAAAGTTTCAGCTCAAATATAACTTCTCAACAAAGTCTTCTGTAGTTTCCACTCTAAATTAGCTCATAGCAAGTACCTTTTATTATATTTTATGGAATTTTTCTTTTTTTTTAATCTAATATTGTTTTTCTTTAAGTAACTATTGGTTTGCTCTTTAAACTTCATCCAGTTTTTAGAGCAGAACTATATTTGGATTCCCTCATAATAAATGAATGAATGAATGACTATGAGATACTTGAAGACTTTGATGAACCTTTCTTTTTCTTTGCCTCCACAAATGCCTAAAATACTGTCATCTTCAACAAAGGGCCTTGATAAGTGTTAAATAAACAAATCCAATCAGTGACCTAAAACTATGGGACACAGTTTTCATACATGTTCTGGGACAGCAAAAACTATGTAACATAGAACATTAGTTCCATGGGACATAATAAAATAGGTGTTACATTTTTAAAGAATGATCCACTGGAAATTCTGGTTCCAGTCATAGCAGTGTAATTTGCATAGAATTCATCTTTTTACAGTTAACAACTACAAATTCTGAACAAGTTGTCTCTTAAAAAAACAATAATTTAAAGGCCTTAAGAGTGATTAAACACAGACAAAAATTAAATAAATTCAACCCTTAAAAGACTAAAACCAGAGTAAGATCCATGTTTATGCATCTATTCCATGCAGAGCACTTTCCATCAAAACACCTGAAACTGAAGCAAAAAGATGCAGTCTTTCTGAATTAAATTGTGGGAGGAAAAAGTTCAGAACTGTCATGGAGGCTTGAAAATGAGGAGGAAAATCCTACAAAAAAGAATGGCACAGAGTGGAGAGCCCCAAAAATGTACATATTAGGTTGGTGCAAAAGTAAATGTGGTTTCTTTGTTATTACTTTCAATGGCAAAAACCACAATTACTTTTGCACCAGCCTAATGCAAACTTTACTCTAATCCTCAGCTGATACCTTTATTGTACACATGTGGATGACATTATGTGAAGCTCAGTGGAAATCAACACCTGCAAACTCAAAAATGTTTAGAAGGTATTTTAGCCACTGCTCATCACAGAGCAGAATGAATTGTGTCCCAACAAGGTAAAGAACTTTGATACTTGAAACTTCAGATGCCTTCCTTGAAACTTAAGATTGGCCATACCTCAGGAGTAAATGCTATGATCCAGAACTGGGAGATTCTTCTAAGAATAAAACAAGACATTCTTATCAGAGAATAAGATAAAAACACCACAAGTTCAAGGTAATCAACCTACATTCTATAGAGAACCATAACAGAATATATTATCTCTGTAAGGTACCATCCACTGTGTTCATTAAAATTATAAGACACATTTTTATTACACAGAAAACTGGGATGCATAGTCAAGAGAAAAAAAAAGATCTATTAAAATAGACCCTGAGATTCATTTATTTTTTAATTTAGCATAAAAATGACTTTAAATACACTGAATAACTTTAAAGTGGGGGGTAGTCATAATTAAAACAAAAGGATAAATAGGAAATCTCAGAAGAGAGATTGAGACTCTTAAGAAAAAACAAATAGAAATTCTAAAATGTAAAAACCATACCAGAAATTAAAAAGTCATTGGATGAATTAACAACAAATGAGATACAGCACAGAAAGAATTAGTTAACTTGGAGACAGAGCCATAAAAAGTATACAAGCTATCATTCTCAGCAAACTGACACAAGAACAGAAAATCAAACACCGCATGTTCTCACTCATAGGCGGGTGTTGAACAATGAGAACACATGGACACAGGGAGGGGAGCACTACACACTGGGGTCTGTTGGGGGGAAATAGGGGAGGGACAGCAGGGTGTGGGGAGTTGGGGAGAGAGAGCATGGGGAGAAATGCCAGATATAGGTGAAGGGGAGGAAGGCAGCAAATCACATTGCCATGTATGTACCTATGCAACAATCTTGCATGTTCTTCACATGTACCCCAAAACCTAAAATGCAATTTAAAAAAAACACCAAAAAAAAAACAAATAAAATAAAATACAGTATATCCATAATATGGAATGTTATCTGGCAGTAAAATAAATGCTGCAGAATGTAGACGAACATGTTATATAATATAGGTGAACCACGAAAACATGCCAAGTCAAAGAAGCCAGGCACAGAAGACCATGTATATGATTCCATTCATATGACACATCCAGAATAGGCAAATCTGTGGAGTCAGGCAGTTACCTATGGCTGAAAGAGTTGAGGGGAATGGGAAGCCACTCATGAGTAACAGTTTCTTTTAGGGGTAATTAACTTAACTTGATTGTTCTAAAATTGATTGTGATGATGATTGCACAACTCTGTGAATAAACTAAAACCATGGAACTGTGTACTGTAAAGAAAAAAAAAAAGGTTAAGTTTGGCAGATTCCCTCTCTCTGTCTTGCATACTTTCACTGTTTGATGCCTTCTGTCATGCTATGATGCAGCAACGAGGCCCTCTCCAGATGGGAGCCCCTTGATCTTGGACTTCTCATCCCCCAGAACCACAAGCCAAATAAATCTCTCTTTTTTTAAAAAAAGTATACAAGCTAAAGAACAGATAGCAAAAGACTGAAAAAAGGTTAACACATCTTCAGTAACCTGTTTGAATAAGTCAAGCAGTCTAGCATACATATAATTCAAGTTCCAGAAAAAAATATAAGTGATAATAGAACAAAAGTAGTTAATTAATAGAAAAAAGTTTCAAATTTGGGGGAAAAATATTAACTTTGAGATTTAAAAGTCTCAGCAAATAATAAACATTTCATAGTAAGAATTTCTGAAAAATATAATAAGAAAATCTTGAAAGAATCCAAAGAATAACAATACATTAAATACAAAATAACAATAAAACTGACAGATAACATTTTGTCAAAAACAATAAAGTCCAGAAGGCAATATAATGATCTTTCAAGTAAAAGTGTGAATAGCATTTTTTTTGCAAAAATATCTTTCAAAAATGAAAGGTAAGACAAAAATATTTTCTAGTACACAAAACAAGAGAATTAATTACCAGCAGACCCATACTATGAAAAAACCTGTCCCTTAAGAATCTCTTATAATGCTGGTCTAGTGATAACACATCTCCTTAGCATTTTCTTGCCTGGAAAATATTTTATTTCTCCTTCAAACCTCAACATCACACAATATATCCATGTAACTAACCTGTACATGTAACCCTAGAATCTAAAATAAATTTGAAATCTTAAAAATAAAATAACATAAAAAATGAGATACTTAGTGTAAAGTTTACCAAAATATGTACAAAGGTCTATATCAAAACCTCTGAAACACTACCAAGAGAATTTTAAAATAACTTAATACATGGAGAGGTGTACTATATTCATGGATTGAAAGACTCAAAATTGTTAAAATATCATTCCCTCCAGACTGATCTTTAGACTCAATGCAATCTTAACTTCCCAATTAAATTTTTACAAATATAAAATTTACATTTATTCTAAAATATGGGAAAAAGCAAGCAAAACAAACACAAAATCTAGCACAGAAATACACACATCCATCCACAAATATGTGTGTATAAATATCCAATACTCAAATATATATACACCCAAATACCTATATTTGCACCCATATATATGTACATACATACATGTATACACATATATGTATATATATATATACAAATATATGTGTGGATATACAGCTATTTCATTTATACACACACACACATATCCATATATACCCACACACATGTGTAAACAAGGTAAAGAACTTTGGTACTTTACCAACTCAAATGTCACCTTTATGAATTGTTCATAAAGCCTTTCAAGTACCTTTACAAACTGAAAACATATTTTCTTTCACTGAACACCTCTGTTTTGTGGCCTGATAGGGTTTGGCTCTATGTCCCCACCCAGATCTCATATTGAATTATAATCCCCATAATTCCCATGTGTCAAGATATGGGGGACAAGGTGTGAGGTGATTGGATCACAAGGGCTGTATTAGTCTATTCCCAGGTTGCTATAACAACATACCCAAGACTAACATGTAATTATAATATAAATATTATATTAAATATAATCATATTATATTCATAATAAATTTATCAAAGGAAGAGGTTTTATCAACTAACAGTTCAGCATGGCTAGAGAGGCCTCAGGAAACTTACAATCATGGTGAAAAAGGGAACAAACACTTCCTTTTCACATGGTGAGAGCAAGGAGAAGTGCAGAGCAAAGGTGCCAAAAACCCCTTATAAAACTATCATATCTCATGAGGATTCACTCGCTATCATGAGAACAGCATGCAGGTAACCACCCCTATGATGCAATTACCTTCGACCAGGTCCTTCCCATGATACAGGGGGATTATGGGAACTACAGTTCAAGATGAGATTTGGGTGAAAACATAGTCAAATCATATTGGGGCAGTTTCCACCATGCTGCTCTCATGATAGTGAGTGAGGTCTCATGAGATCCGATGGGCTTGATAGTCAGTTTTCCCTACTCTTGCCTGCTCTCTCTTGCCTGCCATTATGTAAGACATGCCCATTCCCCTTCCATCATAATTATAAGTTTCCTGAGGCCTCCCCAGCCATAGAGAACTGTGAGTCAATTAAACCTCTACTTTATAAATTACCCAGTCTCAAGTATGTCTTTATAGAAGTGTGAAAACAGATTTCTACATGGCCCTGATTATTGTCTTTTATTGGCATTACTTGTATAGTTTACATATCCTGCTGCAGGACAGAAACCATAGCTCAATAATATCTCTATTACACAAACATGTTATAAATTCTTAATACTTATTGAAATAATGAATGAGCACCTGATTGATCATTTTAATAGAGGAGCTTCAATCTCTGGAGTCAAAATGTTGCATTTCAAGGAATTACTTGTTTTACATCACTTTATAATATTAATTCTCCAGGCAGCAGCCAAAAGAATATTGAATAACTGGTTCAATTTCCTTACAGAACTCAACAAGCCACTTTATAAAGTGATAAGCCCTCCTCTGTTTCTAAAGATCAGTGACATAGCTTTACTATGTATGATTCTCCAAAAAAGTTCATTTTACATAAATTAACAATAGTCAATAAATCAATAGATATTTACATAGGGTTCACTTTGCAAATAACACTCAGGTAATGTGCATGGCCAAGTATACTTACTTTAGTATTTATGGTTCAATTTGTGGTATCATCAAACCTGAACAAATTTAACCTAAATGTTGCTCTTAGATGTGTCAAAAACCTTTTATATTTTTGATGGAAATGCAGATGCATGGTTATGTTGGGCTAGTGAAATCCCACATATATAGTGGAGTATTCAAGGAGCAAAAATTCAGTTTTCAGCTAAAATGAGAACATTAGCAATGGAAGGGATGAGCTCTTTTATTTAACATGTGAAAAGTGAGGCCATAAGAAGTGAGATTGATGTGGACAATGTCATTACATTAGTTAAGAAAAGAGCCTCATCTAGAGCTCACATCTTTGACACCTGGCCCAGGGATGTTTGAAATTGTTCACATTCTGTTTCTTTATAAAGAATTTATAGTTACCATCAATTAACCAGTTAAATGTCTGTGCACTTAAAAAATGAAGTTGTTTTACTTATGATTGTACTCTTTGGACCATACATTGCTTCTAATCATTTGGACATTGGTTTAACGACAATCTAGGCTGAGTGTGGTGGCTCATGTCTATAATTCCAGCACTTTGGGAAGCCACGGTGGGAGGATTGCTGCAGCCCAGGAATTTGAGACCCACCTGGGCAACATAAGGAGACCCAGTCTCTACAAAAAGTACAAAAATTAGCTAGGCATGGTGGTACCCACCTGTAGTTCTAGCTACTCTGGAGGCTGTGGTGGGAGGATTGCTTCAGCCTGAGAGGTTGTAGTGAGCCAGACTGCACCACTACACTCCTACCTAGGAAAGAGAGAAAGATCCTGTCTCAAAAACAACAAACAAACAAACAAAAAGAGACACCCTAAAATTACAAGCTTTAAAGTGGCAAACTACCCTGTTAAAAATATTTAAAGAGGTTTATCATTAATATACAGATAAAACAGAATTCCAAACAGTTAATAAAAATTAGAAAAAAACATTCAAGAGATAAAGGATGAGGATGGTAGAAACATTACAAGGACTCATCACTTGGCAGTAATTACCAGTAAAGTAGGGAATTCAGTGTTTGAAAAAGGGGTAAAAATAAGATCTCTTTGTATCTCTTTCCTACTTTGAATTCTGTACACTAGTATTACTTACTAAAAATATAAAAATCAAAATTAATTGACCTTTTGACTATTTTTTAAATGAATGAATGTATAACTTCTCCACAAAAAGCTGCAATAATTAACTGCATTTTGGTTTGGGTGGTAGCAAGTGAAAACATGGAAACGCTGTATCTAACACAACTAACAAGTATCTAGCCATTGGATAATGATATTCCTTTGTCCATTAATGCTTTTCTTTTTCCCACTCCCATCAATTAAACCCACTTTACAAACCCTAGTTTAATCTTCACTGTGTTAATGTCTGATGATTCCTCCAGTTCTCATGAAAACTTATTTCCCTTAAGCTCCAACAGACCTTGAAGTGTGCACCATACGCAATTGGCTCTTTCCTACACTCAAACACCATTCCTTTTTCTTTACTATGCTTTAACCACATTGGCTTTTTTCTGTTTTTCAAGTGGGCTGGGCTCATTTCTATCTCAGGGATTGGCCTTTGACTTTTCCTCTGTGTTAAATCTGTCTTTATACATCTCCATATGGCTGGCTCCTTCTTGACTCAGGGTAAAGCTCAAATATTAACCACTTTGGCAAGACTATCTGGACCACTCAGTTAAAAGTAACATTCCTCCCATCATCCCCCGTCATGATTTTTCCATTATTATCATATTGTCCTGTTTTATTTTGCTTTTAGGACTCACTACCTGAAATTATCTTTATAACTTCTACATGTACTTATTAATTTTATGGGTTTTTTCTACAAGCATGATGTAATATAAGCATGATGTATCTTACCACTGTAGTGCTAGCCCCTAATTCTGTGGCCAACACATAATAGAGGCTTGATAAATTTTTACCAAATGAATATCCTGTATTACATTCTGCCTTGTACTACTTGCTCATTATTTCCTTTCTTATCTTCCATCCTAAATTATAACTTTCCTATGGCTAAGAACAATGGTACATATTCTGTCTGCCTCCTCTACTGTTTGTAGCAAAGATCTAGGCATATCTGCACTCAAAAATGACTCATTGATTGATTGGTTAGAGATTATGGCTGTTACACAAGACAGTCAATGGAAGAGAAGTACAAACAGATGGTTTTAGAAAGACTTGTGAATGCTGTAATGTAACTGCCTTGACATGTCTAGAACAGGTAATGAGGCAACTCATCACCTGATATGGAGGCAGTAAACACCTTTGCTCTGCAGTACCCACAAAAGCTCAAATGTCAATACCAGTTAATATCTGAGGTTACATAGTTCTCTAGAGAGTTTTTACTAAAGGGATAAAGTAATGCATTGAAATGTAAATTTTGCTATTCTGGCTGCTTTGCATTTAGGGAACATCTTTCTTCCAAGGAGCTCAAATAAATGGCAACAACTCTATTTAACATAAAATACAGTATACATCACACACAGTTCAAATGAATTGAAATTAAAACTCGTGGGAGTTGTTCTAAAAATCTCTCTTGGCAGCATGGCATGCAAATTTGGAAGAAAAAAGAAGAGAATGCAGTTATTGGAAATGAAAGTGAGGTTGCTCACTTTGCCTCTGAAATTTAAATTCTCAGTAGTCCAGGGGAGAGGCTGAGGTGCTATAGGAACAATGCCTTTATTTCCACCACAGGGATTCACAGTTACTCTATTGAGAAAGCCAAAAACTTATGTGAGACCAAGTGAAAGATACTTTCTTAAAATTACCCAGGAAACAATACTAGTAATTGTGTGGGAAGAAGTTATATAGTTTATTCAAATATTCAACAAACATTTATTGAGTGCCTACTATGTAAATGTCAGGCTATAGCCATGAAATCTCAAAGCAAGTCTGCCTTCACAGTTTGATTAGGGAGATAGCGGCATAAAAAAGTATCTGCAATACAGTAAACAGAACTCTGATGGAGGTAAGGACAGTGGGAGTACCTAGGAAGGGTACCTAATCCTGTTCTGAAGGATCTGAAAAGATTCTTCAAGGATGTAATATCTCAGCCGAAGCATGAGGGATTAGAGAATTCAATCAGATTAATAGAAGTTTTAGACCCAAATAACAAAATTTACATAGGCCTAGTGTATTAGTCCATTCTCACTCTGCTAATAAACACATACTTGAGACTAGGTAATTTATAAAGAAAACAAGTTTAATTGACTCACAGTTCAGCCTGGCTACAGAGGTCTCAGAAAACTTAAAATCATAGTGGACGGAGAAGCAAACACATCCTTCTTCACAAGGTGGCAAGAGAGAGAAGTGCCAAGTGAAAGGGGGAAGCTCCTTATAAAACCAGGAGATCTCATGAGAATTCACTCACTATCACAAGAACAGCATAAGGGTAACTGCCCCCATGATTCAATTACCTCCCACAGAACCCTGCCACAACATGTGGGGATAATGGGAACTACAATTCAGGATGAGATTTGGGTGGGGACAGAGCCAAACCATATTTTTCTGCCCCTAATCCCTCTCAAATGTTATGTCTTCACATTTCAAAACATATTCATCCCTTTCCAACAATCTCCCAAAGTCTTAGTTCATTCTAGTATTAACCCAAAAGTCCACATCCAAAGTCTTATCTGAGACAAGGCAAGTCCCTTTCACCTATGGGGGCTTGTAAAATCAAAAGCAAATTAGTTACTTCCTAGATATAATGGGGGTATAGGCATTGGATAAATTCACTCATTCCAAATGGGAGAAATTAGCTGGAACAAAAGGTCTGGCCCCATGCCAGTCCAAAATCTAATAGGGCAGTCTTAAACCTTAAAGTCCCAAAATGATCTCCTTTGACTCCGTGTTTCACAACTAGATCACATTGATGTAAGAGGTGGGCTCCCATGGTCTTGGGAAGCTCCACCCCCGTGACATTGCAGGGTTCAGCCCCCTCCCAGCTACTTTCATGGGCTGATGTTGAGTGTCTGTGGCTTTTTTAGGTGCACAAGCTGTCAGTGGATCTACCATTCTGTGGTCTGGAGGATGGTGGCCCTCTTTTTACAAGTCCAATAAACAGTGCCTCAGTGGACTCTGTGTGAGTGCTCCAACTCTACATTTCCTTTCTGCCCTGCCCTAACAGAGGTTCTCCATGATGGCTCCAACCCCGCAGCAGACTTTTGCCTGGACATCCAGGCATTTCCATACATTCTCTGAAATCTACATGGAGGTTCCCAAACCTCAATTCCTGACTTCTGTGCACCCACAAGCTAAGTACCACATGTAAGCCCAAAGGCTTGGGGCTTGCACCCTCTGAGGCAATGGCCTGAGCTGTATGTTGGCCCCTTTTTGCCACTGCTAGAGCTGAAGCAGCTGGGACTCAGGGCTGCCTAGAGCAGAGGGGGTCTAGTGGTCTGGCCATGTCCCAAGGCTGCATAGAGCAAAGGGATCTTATGGCCTGGCCCTGGATACTATTTTTTTCTACCTAGGCTTCCAGGTCTAAGATGAAAGGAATGCTGTGAAGGTCTCTGACATGGCCTGGAGACATTTTCCCCCATTGTCTTGATGATTAACATTCAGCTCCTCATTACTTATGCAAATTTCTGCTTCAGGCTTACATTTCTTCCTAGAAAATGTTTTATTTTCCTTCTATTGCATCATCAGCCTCCTGATTTCTCAAAGTTTTATGCTCTGCTTCCTCTTGAACACTTTGCCACTTAAACTTTTTTTCCACGAAATACCCTAAATCATCTCTCTCAAGTTCAAAGTTACACAGACCTCTAGGACAGGGACAAAATGCCACCAGTCTTTTTTTCTAAAACATAGCAAGACTCACTGTTGCTCCAGTTCCCAAGAAGTTCCTAATCTCCATCTAAGATCACCTCAGCCTGGACTTCATTGTCCATATCACTATCAGCACTATGATTATAGACATTCAACAAGTCTCTAAGAAATCCCAAACTTTGCCACATTTTCCTGTCTTCTGAGCCCTTCAAACTGTTCTGACCTCTGCCTGTTACCCAGCTCCAAAGTCTCTTCCACATTTTCAGGTATCTTTATAGCAGCACCCCAATCTCTGTGGTATGAATTTACTGTATTAGTCCATTCTCACACTGCTAATAAAGACATACCTGAGACTGAGTAATTTATAAAGGACAAAGGTTTAGCTGATTCACAGTTCAGCACGGCTGTGGAGGCCTCAGGAAACTTACAATCATGGCAGAAGGGGAAGTAAACGTGTATTTCTCCACGAGGTAGCAGGAGAGAGAAGTGCTGTGTGAAGGAGGGAAACTACTTATAAAACCATCAGATCTTGGGAGAGCTCACTATCATGAGAACGGCATGAGCATAACCACCCCCATGATTCAATTACCTCCCACCGGTTCTCTCCAAGGACATGTAAGGATCATGAGAACTACAAATCAAGGTGAGATTTGGGTGGGGACACAGACAAACCACATCACCTAGACAAAGAAATAGTGTGAAGTTAAAAGGACATTTAAATAATAATGTCCTTTTATTATTATTGCAGAATTACTATTGCAGAATAGAATTGCAGAGGACACAATGCACTCTGAAAACAGTCACGATTTTGTTCTATAATTGTAATTAGCTTTAATAGGACATACCAAAAATATGAAACAGAAAGAGTGAGGGAGAAGAAAAAGAGAGAGAAAGAAAGAGAAAGGGAAGGAAGAAAAGAGGGAGAAAAACAGAAGGAAGGGAG